TCTGTCGTAACAACCTCATTTTGACACTGAAAGGGAGGACAGCAACTTGATCCCTTGTAGACAGACAGGAATCTCTCTTTCTACGTGTTTCTATGTTCAACTGAAACTCTGTGTTCAGCCTTACCAAAATTTTACTTATGCAACACGGTTAAGGGCTGTCTCTGGACACACCAAATGTAAAAGGCTGTTGAAGTAAACTTACTTTCATATGTAACCCTTTCGGACTCGGCGAATCCAGTTAATTACCGTCGAAAAGCACTGATTTACTTTCGTGGATTGTGGCCTTCTGGGCTATGTCAATGTTTTCGAAGGAACATGCCGCCTTCTTTTTCAGGAGTAAACTTTGTTGACAGGCTGATTAGACTACACACACGGCTTCATAATCGAGAAGACCACAGTCAACATTTTCACCGCGGTGAACACCTTAAGCTACTTTTCTTGGCAAGAATATTCGGTAAGACGCTCCCAACAGAAGAAATGCAAACTTACCTCTTCAGCTTTATGTTTCTGGCTGAATTCAATGCAGGCGAGCCGCGGTGGGAAGGTGGAAATACAAGTTGTGAGGATGGAAACTGGATTGAGCAGGTTCAAGATGTGGTCCAGTGGCGAAGCTTTTGTTATCAGGGTGAGGAACACCAGGGTTCCATAACGGTATATTTCTTAACAGTATTTTACCAAGGTGTGAGTTGGTTAGTTGGCAACTTCCACTCCATCGGACGAGTCTGACACCTTGAAATGTAATAGAAATAAGTAATCATCAAACAAACATGATTGAAGTTATTATACAAATTTCGTCCTTCTTCGATTTAAAAAATCTAGTGGTTCATGATTCCACTAATAACGACAGTAATGCTTCATTTTGTTGAGGACAGACAATGCTCATTACAGTACGTAACACATAGATCACAATCTCTATTTTTTCGGATTTGTATCTCACTGCATTATAAAGAAAATACAAGTCCATGGATTTCTGTGTAAAGAATTTTTTGTAAATTAATTGTCAGAGTGTAAATTGGATTGCGCTGGCTCAAGATTGCGTCCGATGGTTGATTTCTTTACGTATGAAGATTAACTTTAGGGATTCATAACGGATAAGGTGGTGATGTCCCGAGAAGCATCACGTGCTCATAAAACAATCTGTAGTTAGACATTTATACTGAGGTAAGTTCGGTTGACGAACCTCAAGGGGCAAGGCAATTTGAGAGTAGTACAGTTGAATGATAATATTAAAATTAATCTTAAAGAAATGGATTGTGAGTGTAGACATTTAGTTAAGATGCTTTAGGATATAAACTAAAGAAGAGATTTTATGAACACGTTAAGGGAGACAGTGTATATGGAGTTATTAACCAGTCAGATACTTGTATCAAACCAAGTACGTACGAAAATCAGTTACTTCAACAAGTAAAATGTCTACAGAATTTATACACATAGTATTAGGGTACAATAAATAACAAGGCTTACAACACTCAATATCAGAGTCTTACGTTTTAGTACACAACAGTATCATACACTAATGTGCGCATGCTCATGTGCAGACAAGAACGGACTAACTAACAAATATAAGTATCCGGCGGGACAAGACTAGTTCACAAAGAGTCGAAGGTTGTAAAAAGGGACTGCGAATTTATTAATGCCAATTTTCTCACTTAAATGACGACGAATCACAAGCATATTTAATTTCTTTACTTATTTTATGACGCCTGCACGAGACAACTAGGGCGTACCAGAAATTACCCGGTTAGGAACCCAGCATTTTGTTATTACCTATGCTCACTCCACACACATCGTGAACGAAGTATAAAGCGACGTCTATTGAGGGATGTCAATAATATGGAGAGTGAGGGCGGGTGTGCCAAAAATCGGCCATAATGGTGTTTTTCAACCCCTTATAAGTGTTAGTACCGACATTATGAGCTCAGTGCTTCAGCCAGAACCACCCATACCTTGTTTCTGCAAGACATTGTAAAGACACGATCGCAGAATTTGTCTTACAAGTGTTTAAAAATAATACGATACGTCGCGGAGGAATCATAAAAAGCGCCAATGGAGTCACGAGCCACCACATTCAGAGAAAACTGGCGGAGATACCAAACAATTTAGTTGCAAAGCACAGACAAACATTTCATCTGTGATGACGTACTGACGTGACAGCAGTGAAGAACGGTTGTAGGAAGGCCGACTAAAAACTTATACCCAAACAAGCAAATGATTATTATCTCAAGATTTGTTTTATTCGTTGATTTATAGTATATTTAACGACGCTGTCAGTTGCTCACACTATACACCGCGTCGAGTCAGCAGAGGAAAAGAATACATCCAAACTGTGTAATTACAGAGATTCTGTGACCCTTCAAAACTAAGTCGAACTGCTTGTCAGGTCACATCTAGACGGAGGCCTTCACTAACATGTAGCTTTAAGGTTTTACACACAAAAAAGCACAAGAAAGGAGCAACATTTTTATGAACACCCTGTTCTAACAATTTACAGTCATGCAATTTAGAACGAATTTTAATATCACAGAAGAAGAAGAAGTAGATGATGATGATGATGATGATTATGATCAGTGAATGGCCTCTTCATGCTGTCTGTTATCATTTGTAGCTGTCTATTGAAATGTCGATTGACCGCGGCCTGGCATGGGAATCACTTGTAAGGATGTGATCTCCAGTCCTTATTTGGTGTTCCAATCTGCCCTACAGCCAACAGTCCTCGTACAAAAACAAATTAATGACGGACGAATTACATTACATGCTGTTCCTGGGGACATGCATTCGGTTCCCTGACACGAACACGCTGCTACAAAAGAAAAAAACAACAAAAGTTTGAAAACGTGGGACTGAGCTGTTTTCGCCTGAACCAGAATGCTCCCCTGTCGTGAACAGCAGTGGTTTCCAAAATACGGTCCAAGATCCATACGCCACACGAAAGCGGCTTAATTAACTAACAAAGACACCAATAAGGCACGGTCTGAAAAAGCACGAGTTTGAAACTAAAAATAGAAAGTAACTTCTGTTTCAAAGTCAGTGAGGACTTGTATTCGGAAAGTACACGGTTCAAATCTCGACCGGGTCTTTCGTGATTTTTCTGTCTCTCCAGACGAACGTTGGGATAGTACCTTCAAACAAGCCTTGGCCACCTCCATACTAGACTCTGCTTACTTATCATCCATGATAATCTTCCATTTGCAATCGTTGCACTCGAAAAGAGTCGTCAAAGCTGTGAATGTCACTATCTAGGCTCTGAAGTGAGCTGTGTTGCAAGGGGGGGGAGGTACTTTTCAAAAGATTTGCTCTACGTAAGGAGGACACGGAAGATACATCTCAAAAGTAGGCGGTACGATCACAAAGACCCGGACAGAAGAAGAATATTGAAGTTGAAGTAAGGGAACACGATTGTGGTTCATGGCAAAGAAAACTGACAACGGATGATGCTATTGAAAAGCGAAGTAACACAATGGAAACAGAAAAGAACCCTTCACTCCTTCATTAACCCAAATCGAAATCTCGCACGTAGTTAATATTAATAGAAAGTCTCACATTTTCCCCAGTTTTAAACTTCAGGGCAGTTTAAACAGTGGACACACATATTTTCCAAATGCGTTTTTACGAATCTGTGTCTCGCTGAACTTGGTGTTAATTTATATTACAGATTCAAATCTAAGCGAATCACACAGCACAGACAGAAATAATTTACCTTTCTGCTGAAATATTTACCACATCGAAAAACCTTTCAAATTCAAGATCAGAGCACAAGGAGACCTATGTATCCTACGCCTAGCCTAAGCACTACATTTTGTACAAAGAATTCTTTTAGAAAAATTCTGCGTTCGATTTGTACTGTGCTGCAAGTAAAGCAGAAATTATACGCCGACCAAATTTAAACTTCTGGGACGGCGATAGGCAGACACTCTCCACAAAATTCTTAGTTTCATTAACCTTCTTCCAGATTTCTTTTTCTGAAGCGATCAGGCCGTTAGAAATAATATCTGGCCGTTCGTTCACTCAGTTTGAGGTCCTTACACTACCTGACATTTAGCCTACAGCATGTCATTCGGGGTATATTATTTTTAAAACCCGCTGACTGTTTCTTTTCTCAAACAAATCTAACTATTGGAAACTCACTGTAAATTTTCTTGGATTAACAGACAGACATTCATGAAACAAAACTGAGACTTCCGGAAAAGAACGTCGAATCTGACTGGTTCATAGACAATCTTACAGACTTACACACATAACAGTGCACAGAAAACAGGACCTAGCAGCTGCTATGAAAAGCTGCTTGTGGTGCAGTGCAATTTCATGAAGAATCATCATTTCAAATAAATAATTTCGATCCTGTTACCAACGGAATGAATCCTAGTTTAATTCCGAAACGTCCAAATCAATTCAATATTGTTAGACCTTACTTTCAAATCGTTTTAAATTCAATATATATGTGTTCAGTTTTATACAGTTATTAAATGTCAAACCCATGAAAACACAAGAAAATCTACTGCAAGTTTCATATACGTACGTATTTAATAAACTCAGGTGTCCCATTTGCCTCCACGGCGAAAGAAAGCGACATTTCAACTTACGTTCTAAATAAATTACACGAAGCCAGCAGACATGTCACACAACGAATAACACACTCCAACTCTGCAGATGCCACTTGCACACAAAGTGGTCTCTTAATGACGTATCTTTCTCTGTGCCACCTCTGAAGTCTCGGCTTCAAAACCCAACAGTTATCGCGAAGAACGAGTCATCTTCCTGCAGCTCTTACAGATTAACTAACGCCGGCTCCAACAATTATAAACACAAATAATGGCCCAAACCGGCGACTATTTTCACTTGCGACACAAACATTCTACACGTTGCAGCCAATCAGCTGACATCACACGTGTCCTCTTGTCACAGTGACTACTTACACGTGTACTCTTCCGTCCGTTCACTACACGTGTCGCACTTCACATAGCAGCACCAATGGAACTTACAGCGGCACTGCCAAGTTCTGGTGAACTGGTGCGTGTTGTAGCCTCGACCACAGCACATCAGGTCGCAGCCTTCTGTGCCTGCGAGCATAACAGAAACATAGCATTTACAGCGCTTATCAGCTATTTATCTGCAAGATTTATTTGCACAGTTACCACATCACATGAGAAACTAAATAAATAAGTGCTAGGCCTACATAATTCAACAGCAGTGGAGTCGTTTTATTGCCATTAAGCACATCTGGTGCAATCCAACGTTGTCATGGCAACTACAGATCAGCGTCGTAACTACTACAGGTGACCGAGAAGTCACGGAACCCATATTAAAACATTTATTGATGGTTGCAATTCGAACTGATTAATAAACGCACAGTATCGCTGTGACTATACAAGGGCCCATGCAGGTCACATCATGTCGTAAGCTGCTCGCGCCAGTCCGCCGGTTACCTTTCGACAGTCGAAGGGCAATGATTTCCTTTTCACTGGAGCAATTAGTGATCATTGTCGACACTACCTGGCACCTCGTTCTGACTTCAGTTTCCAAAATGAGTGTAAGGACGCATTTCTTATCGATTCTCCTGTGCCAAAGAAATCGACGGTGTCTCGTCTGGTGAATCGTTTCAGTGACACAGAAACCCTTCGCTGGGCTGCACCAGACACGAGAAAAAGGGCGAATGCATGGGCATTTCCAGCACTTTATACAACGTTGCTACTTTGTTTCAACGTAATTTATTTGTTACTAATATAACGTACGTTAGGAACGGGTTGCATTACTTTTAGATCAGTCTGCACAGGCGCAAGACCCAACAACGACATCGCTCGCAATAATGAGATGATTTCGTACAATTTCTCATTTTCAAGCTTCGGGTATGAATGGTGTGTTAAAAGGAAAACAAACGATTCTGCCAGAGCTTTAGGCTGGTTGTCCCTGATCTCACCTCTGGAGGTCCGGTTGCAGTGGCGGCCCACCGTGCCCATGGAGCCGGTGGCAGGGTCCCGCTCACAGTAGTTGGGCGACTCCTGGAGGAACACGAGGTCAGAGCGTCGCGGGGCCCTCTTCTTCTCCAGCAGCTGCTGTCCACGGGGCGGGGGCTTCCTGAGGACCAGCTGGAGGTTCCTACTTCGCCGTCCCGGGCGGGACCCAACATCCACAGCCATAACCGCGCGAGCTCGACTGTACTTGCGCATGAGACTGTCGCCGATTTGACGGAACGCGGGCAGCGTCTTCCAGCAAGTCTTCATCGTGCAGCTGCCAGACACTCCGTGACACTTGCATTCCACGTGCAGGTTCACTTTGACGGCCTGCAGAGTTCAGAGCAAGACTGGACTATAGTGTACCTTGACTGTACAACCTAGGACATTTTATAAGACGGCTGTCTTCTGGGAGGCAGGAGGCAGAAAGCAATCTGAAACGCCTGTCAATATCCACCAGAGTTCAAGTGCGACATCCCAGAAGACAGCCATCTTCATATTCGTCGCCGTGAAAACATAAAATCTCATCTAGCACATCTTAATTTTTCCCGATGATGTAACAGGATATATGGAGAGAGATGGAGACAGCAGTACCATTGGCCACATTCACCACCACCTTCACTTCCGCTCTGGAAAATTGTCACGCTTACGAACGGGTCGATCTGGCAAAGACTGTGCCGAAACAATTTCAGCGACTACCGAACGTCGCCAAGTGTTGGTTAGCACTCTTTCTTTCGTATTCGGGAAGGTATGGATTCAAATCTCGGCCCATACATCGTCTGATTGAGACATTTGTGACCTTCCGTATTCGAGTTTTTACTCTTGATCAAACAGCATCAGCGTGATCAAATCTGGGATGATGAGATGAGTGGGGAATGCAGCACGCACTGATACTACGAAAAAATTCGTAAAACATTTTAGTTGTATAATCTGATAGAAAGGGTCGCTTGGAAGAATGAGGCATGTATGGGAGGATAATATTAAAACGGGTGTGGCTGGTGTCAATTGGCTCAGAATAAAGACTAGTTGCAGGGTACAAATTTTAATGGACCTTTGGATTACATAGAAGGCGGGGAATTTCCTGCTCATCTGAGCGACTGTTAGCTCATCTAGAACCACACTCTGGAGTATAAAAACGGTACTAGGCGAAACCTAAAGAAGACAGAAGACGCATCTTCACCCTGTCGGGCATCTGTCCCTTGCAGCAGGGGCGTGGCCCACAAAAGGATTCTGTGGTGCCGAGGAAAGATACGAGCGAGAGCAAGAAATCTAGAAATGAAATCTGAGAAGATGTGAACCTGTTCCTTGAAGAATGAGAAATGTTCGCGCAGATACAGGAACGCAGTCAGCTTTACCTGTGTCATCACGAACAAAGGCGCACACAAGACGCTTCTGACTTTAGCATAGAAAGCCGCATTCCAACTTGAACCATGCGAAATCTCTCAGACTTTGTACGCCTTATTAACTCTGATATCCATTTTCTGCTGTTAAAATACAAATCATAGAAGTTAGTGAGGTCCATATTTTATGTTACGAACCATTTATTATACGATGAGTCATTTGTGAAAAAATACGACGTTTGATTTGAGCACATTTGAGGACATTGGGCCGTTAAGGAACTAAATTATATCCGAAATTTTTTTAGCGTGGAGCTACTAACACTAAATTTAATCGAAATCCTTTTCGTAACTTAAAAGATTAAACATTAGATGAATATCTTTTTCGTATGTAAGATTTGAGGTTTTCGCAGCGGTGAGTATGAAGATTTCTGTCTTCTGGGTTGTTGCGCTGTGTAGTCTGGTCGATGTTTACCAACGTTTCGGAGGTCATACTGCCTCCATCATCAGGGCGATGACGGAGGCAGTATGACCTCAGAAACGTTGGTTGGCATCGACCAGACTACACAGCGCAACAACCCAGAAGACAGAAATCTTCATACTCATCGCACT